CAGCCGCCCCGGGGTCCCACGCCAGCCCCCGGCACCGAGCCCACCACCAGCACAGCCCCGGGCTCGCTGCTAATCCCTGCTCAGACCAGCACCAGCGCAGGAGGGACGGGCTGGTCAGAAGGACCTGAGGATTAAGCTCATTTCAGTATCGAATTAGTCCCGATTGGGGTCTGGAGACACAATTTCATTTTATCTGCCACGCTCCAGGGAGCGCACACAATCGCACTAATCCAGTCGCCGGCCGGGCTGGATTTGCAGAGCAGGACCCAGGTGGGCCAGGGCAGACGCGGGCAGCGCAGGCACCGGCTGCATCCATCCCCCTGCGGCCGACACCGCGCATGTGCTCTCCGTGGGGCAGGGGAGACGGTGCAGGAGTCTCCCCCACCGCTGGCACGGCCGTCCCATGGGACCAGGACCTGCACGCCACGGCACGGGCACCTGGGGGCTGGGGCAGGAGAGGGACGGGCGGTGAGCAGGGACCGGCAGAGGGATGCCAGCCCACCCTGCCCTGCCCGACCCCCCTGCCCGGGGAAGAGGCACCGACCACGCTGAGAGACAGCGCGGGGTACGTGCAGGACCCACCGTGCAGCCGCAGTTGGGTGGGCAAACCCGCACACCCGCGTCTTTGGGAGCAAACAGCCAACACAGGCTGCAAGATCACGAGGATGCTCTGTCCACGGGTGACACTGGATGCTGCTCTGCGCCCGCCGCCCACAGCCGCCGCCGCCGCCAGCGCTCGCAGACATGCCAGCCCAGCAGCAGCCCATCGCCCCTGCCCGAGGGCAGGCTCAGGCAGCACGCTGCGGCACAGCGCCGGGCACAGCGCCGTGCTCTCAGGCAGTAGGAGCAGTCGAGGTATGGGACGGGCAGGTCCCCCCAGAGCAGCCCCTCCATCCCCCACCGCGCTCAGCCCCTCCGTGCCGTTCGCGGGCGCCGCAGCAGCCCCACGCAGGGCGATGCTCTCGCACCGGGTCCGCAGAGCAGAAGGGAGGGAGGGCAAAGCCTTGCCTTTTGCCTTTGGAAATGGGGCACGCAGACACCCAGGGATGCCGGCAGGAGCGGGGAACAGTAAGGATAGGAATAAAAAACCAAAACACTAATGGTTTAATGGTTTCTGCAACAAAATTCTCATTCAGGGTGGGTAAACCTCACAGCCAAACCTGGCCAGGGGTTAAACGCAGCATTTGTCCCCAGTGCACACAAACACATCCAGGCAGGAGAGCTGTGCTTTGGCTTCCCTCACCCCGGGACGCGCTCCGCAGCCCCAGGAGCAGCCGCCGGCAGTGCCGGGGCAGAGCAGAGCCCCGGCCCATGGGCTGCGCCGCGAGCACCGCACCTCCGCGTGTCCAAAAGGCTCAGGTGACTAACGGGGCTATAAACAGAGCGTGCCGGGCCAGGGCAGCCGTGCCACCCAGAGCTGCAGCCCCAAAGCTCCAGAGCCGCATGTTAACACCACCAAATAGGACAGAGATCATTTTACAGCTGTTTTAGCCACCGCGAGGGGCTCAGACGCACCACAAGCGAGAGCCGCCTCTGCTAAAAGCTTTGCAGCCGTGGAGCGAGAGGGACAAAAAGCCAGACAGAGCACGCGCCCAGCACGCAGCCGCTCGGCCGCCGGGGCTGTGCCGATGCGGCGCCGAGCTCTGCCCCAGCACCAGCCTTTTCCCCAATTCCCTCCCTGGCAGAGCCGCGCTATAAACCAGCATCTACATCTCATAACAACAGGAAGACACGAAGTTGCAGTGAAAAATGGAGATTGCAAAACTCACCAGTGACCGAACAGGGAGCAGGTCGTGACCATGTTACGGTTCGGCTATACCACTGCGGCCGCCCCAGCCCGGCGAGAAGCTGCCCGGCAGCGCATCGCTCCCCGTCTGGGCAGAAAGCAGGAGCTGACACGAGGGGAAACGCAGGGCAAGAACCGGTCCCGCCTGCGAGCAGCCAGCGCTCCCGGCCCCTCTGGTGCAGCTAAATGGGTGGATTCTGCTTTATCAGCAAGTCAGCTCAGCCCTATCGGCCAGGAAACCGTGTTCGCATGTGTGCCTCCCCCTCGACATTTCCCAACGCAGTGGGAGAAGCGGTTCACGGCAGCCTACCTTTTATCAGCCAGCAGATGTTGCTAGAACTGTTGCTGCGTGTAAAATTCAGGCATGCCCAGCCCGCTTGGATCCCTGCGCCGGCCACGCGGTGCCAGGGTAAACACCCGCCCCCTTCCTCCTGGGATCAAAACACTTAGGGGTTGCAAAATAGACACCCCATGAAAGGAAAGGCATGCCACAGAAACATTACAGCTGTCGAGGCTACTTCTCCCGGAGCATGCCGGAGCCCCAGAGCCAGCAGCAGCCGGCACAGCCTCCCAGGCCGGAGCCCCCTGCGCGAGTCCTGCCCCGTCCCAGCGAGGTGGGGACCGGTGAGCCCCCACCGCTGTCCCCCCGCACACGCAGCCCTGGGCCGGCACCACCGCGGCGCGTTCGGCCCCATAACATGGAGGCTGCTGCGAGGGCAGCACCCACAGCCCCGCCGTGGGGAGCCGGCAGCGGCTGCAGCCCCGCTGGGCACAGTGACGTGGCCCCCAGCGCTGGCGCCCGGGGGATGCCCATGGGAAGGAGATCCTGCTCAACACCCACACCGGGCTCCCACCGGCTCCCCGGGGCTGCCGCGAAGCCCGTCGAGCACAGACCAGCTTACAGTAATTCCTTGCAAACCAGAAAGTCATTTCCCAGCTGACGGGGCCGCTTTACTGTACTCAGCGCAGCACAGTCACCACTCGCCGCCCCACCACCCACGCTGTACAGGAGTACAAGGAGCAGGGATTTTTCACAAGTAGAGTATCGGGGTTTTGCTATCACTCGAGAGAGAGCTGGGAAACCCCACGGCGAAGACCTCACAGCCGCTTTGGAGTCAGCACTTCCCCTGCAGTGAGAGAGGAAGGTCCCTCCAGAGGCTCTGTGCAACCCTGCATCGAGCATCCCTGCCTGCAGCTCCCGGTCCCCAGCGCTGGTGCCAGCATCCCTCATCCTGCCCCAAAGCATCAGCCTCGGGACAAGGCGGGCGCACCAAAGCCGGCAAGGTGGCTCTAGTGACAACTGCCGGGGGGTAAACACCCCGCGAGGAAGGATGCTCTCAAAGCGCCACGAAACACAGAGTGGGTGACAGCCGCCCCTCACGCCCCGTTCCCAGCCCGGCTCTTCCGTGTCCCTGGGCACGGGCTGTTGGCACCTCTCAACCTGCACCGGAGCTCCTCCTCCACGTGGCTGCACATGCGGCACCGCGTGGCGCGGCACAGCACAGCGCTGGGGACAAGCCCTGCTCTCCAGGGACGGCTACAAAACCCAAGGAGGCGGTCTCCATCCTCACATCCAGCACCTCGGAGACCTGGGAGCCACATCAGGTCGGCTGTGATCCCGACAGCTTCGGGAGCACCCACGGCTTGCTGCGGCCGTCCACAGATGACCCTGACACCCCCAACGCCTCGCGCTCACCGGAGCCGCACAGACGGGGCAGAGCCACGCTCGGCGCCAGGCCCCAAGCAAACCTCCCTCCAGCGCGGGGTCGCTGCGCTGGTGCAAACACATCAAAGCACAATGGCAAACCTCGGCTCAAAATCACCACTGAGAGAGCACCGCCAGCCCTCCCACGTCAGCACCGGGCCACGCTCCCCACGACGGGCTCAGAGCCTTCCTCCCAGAGTGGGGGCAGAGGGGTGAGGGGCAACAAAGTTCCCGCAGCGCCGGGCTGGCTCCCTGCTGCCCGCGATGGTGGACAGGCTCTCCAGACCACTCCACGATGTTACGCATAAACTGCCTCCACGGAC